AAGCAGCCTTCGGAAGAGCCCCATGGGGGCCGGCGGGGGCGCCTCCAGCCAGGCGGCCTGCCTTAAGCAGATCCTGCTGCTCCAACTGGACCTTATTGAGCAGCAGCAGCAACAGTTGCAGGCCAAGGAGAAGGAGATCGAGGAACTCAAGGCCGAGCGGGACACAGTGAGTTGGATGGTTGGGAACGGGGTGGAAGGGGTTAATGTTCATCAGGTTGGAGGGAGCGGGGTTGGGTAGGAGGATGTGGCGGCTCAAGGGTTAATAGTGAGGCTCGGTGCAGGCTAGTTTTCTTAAGAGTTAATGGAGAGCATGCACGCGTTTGGAGCCTAGTGTTCACAGTGGGAGGGGTTAATGTAAATCGCCGCAGAGGCATATGGGGGCTAATGGAGGGTTTCTCATTTGGCTTACAGAGGGAATGCAATTAGGGCACGATGGGGCAGACTGTACTGTCACTAAGACTAGGGGTGGTCTGTGACTTTGAAGCCTCTTCAGGAAAATATATGATGGAAATACAAGTAGTGTGGTGAGCAGACACTAGTCAGGAAAAATAACTACTGTTAGGGTGAATCATGGAGCAGGAGGTGATCAGAAGCTCATTTTGGTCAATAACTATGGTGGATCCTGCATTATTCAATCCCACCTCCAATCTAATGAGGCCTTGGGAAGTCTGTGCCAATTAAAGGGTTAATGTGGAAAGGTGTGGTCATGAGATTATTGGAAACTTCTAGTTAAGGGTTAATGAGTGACAACACATTGGTGGTATAGTGCTTAATCCAGGGATTTGTCATTTGAAGGTGGGGGTCAGGAGTGTTAAGTGAAAGGAAATGTATATCATCCATAGGTCCCCAAAGTGGTCTATATGGACCCCCAGGGGTTGATTTTGACTTTCAGGGGGTCTATGTCAGAAAAAAAAAATTGGGGGTGCAAGTTTAGACTTGTATTAAGGCTTTGCAGGGGTCTAGGGAAAACAAATAAGTTGGCAAGTTGTCTACCGGGCGAAGAAGTCTGGGAACCTATGTGGGATAGAAAAGGCAAGCAAAGGACAGTTGAAGGCTTAGTAGGAAATGGGAGTAAAAAGTAGTGTGTACTGGCAGCCAAAGGGAGCTTGGCACTCTCCAGGTTAACAAGCGACTAGGAAAGGGTTGACAACCTGAGGGTTAAGTTGCAGGGCCTGCTGGGTAGCTGGATTATCTGATAGGTGTAGTTAAGGGCACTGAAACAATCCAAGCCCAGAGTATGGATCTGGGTGAGGCTGTAGTCATCAAGGAGTTAATCAGCAACTGGCCAGGCAAAGCACAGTGTCCACCTTGTGAGGCCCCTGGAGCTGAAAGAGTACTGTTGTGCAAGTAGGGTTAAATTAAGTAACAGTCTTGTGCTGTTGGGAGATGTATGGTACAAACAGGGTTAATTTAAAGGGACATTGGCTGGGAACTGCACAATTTGGGGGGGAGAGAAGGAGAGCACTGAACAAAACAGTCAGCTGCAGTGAGTGCTATCTGAACAGTAGGGGAGGGTGTTTTTAAAAAGGAATATGCCAGTTTTAGGTTTAGCACCAGTCATCCATTCCCTGATCTTCTATTGATGCTCCTTTTTCACCAGAGCACCATCCTACTTTTTTATTACAACTGTTGCAAAATGATTCCCTGTGTGGTGTACACATGCAAGGTGTTCTTCTCCACCCTTGCCCTGGCACTGTGCAAGCCAAACTTGTCTTCCCCATATCTGGCCAAACCCAATTGTTCAGTCCCCGACTTTTGCAACGTGAGAGAGTCTAATGGAGAGTTTTGCTGCTACATAGAGACTACAACCATATTGGGATGTATACAGCGAGCATAAGGGTGGGCAAAATGCTGCCTAGCCCCTTTAATCTGTTACCATAAGAGCTGAATGGGACACAGGGTGAAGATTGGGGGAGATCTTCAAGATCAACTGCAGATGAAGGTTGGTTTCTTTAGTTATTTTTAAGATTACTGCTGCCTACAGCAATGGTAGTTCAGTGAATAATGTACATTTCTAAATTGCAAATATAGAAATAGCTGTTTGGCTTGTCTTCTTTCCTACCCCTGTCCCCAAATTGCCACAAAGGGTTTATAATCCAGGCCTGTATGCATGGCACGTCTGCAGCCTAAAAATAGCCCCCTCTTCCCAGTTTCTGCAGCTGCTGCACCCATTATTATCAAGAAAAGAAGTATTTCTCCTTCCTCCTGCTCTAGGCATGATCTTCAGGGTCTGCCTTTGAAGTAAGGTGGGCTGGTAGTGGTATCTGCTGATTGCAAGAAGTCATGGCAGTTTAATCTTTTACAGTTCTGTAGCAGAAATATGCGATTCAACATAGATAGTGTAAAAAAAACACAGTCTCCCATCAGGCCTGTGTAACAGCTAACCAATATGGAGGTGCCAGCTGCCGTTTTGCAGTCAAGGATGTGGTGATGGCAGACTGAGTATTTTGCATGCTCTTGTAAAGATTTGAGGGCAAAGGGTGGAAGCAAACCCAAACACACGCATACTCTGAGGAGCTAGAATACACACAGTGCAGATAAATGCAAAGTTTGTGAGTCAGGCTGTTAACTAGAACTGCTGGACTGGTTGTTATTGCCTTGCTGACTGCAGATTTACAGAATACCTGCAGTGGTTCTTTCCTTCCCGCCATGTGCCATCGCCCTCCTCCCTTTTGCATATGGAATAGTGCCAGAATCATTATCACTTGAATTAAGTATTTTAGTTTCATTTGTGCAAATACTTGAATAGTTTTTAGATTATACTTTCCCGCGTGATCTCAGTTTCTTGCATGTTCTTTGCAGCAGTGGGATCTAAAATGGAGGCTTTGCAGAAAATATTTTAGATGATTTGGCAGCACTTTTCTAGATCAGTGTAACCCTGAAATGCTTTGGATATAATTTTGCATTTCTGTTACACTTCACATTAACTCTCTGCTGTCCTTCTGCTATTTTTTAAAATTCCAGTTTGAAGGTTTTGTAATTTTCAGTCACCCATACAGCTCCCGTTTTCTATTAAAGATTTATTTAATGACTGCAGTGTGCCAGGTAACCTAGTGAATAAAATGATGTGGCTGTCTGTGTGAGGGAAAAGGGACAGAAAGAAACGAAGTTCAGGGCTTTGACTGCTAGGAACTGTGAAAAGGGTAGGGGATGACCTTTTATGTAGACCACTTTTAGTCCCCATTTTATAGGGGAACTTACCAGAAGCTTCATACTGAATTCATGACTGAGTTTTAGGCCCAACATTATTAGATAGTGCTGTATTCCTATTGTAAATGGCTCTATATTTTGTCCTTGTTCTGTGCTGCTGCTTTAGGGATTACCCTCCCCTTGTTGGATGCAGAGCCTGAGATGCAAAATATGAATGTAACCCTTTGGGATTGGTTCCAGAGTTCATGGTTTGAGAACCATGGGAATAGGATCTATTCCTAATGCTGTTGAATGAACATGAGCTGAAGAAAAGTAGAAAACTTTTTGTGCTTTTTAACATGGAAATAAGGGGACACATGCATATTTATAATGTAAAAATATGGTATCCTATAGCTTTGAAACAAAAGACATTCCCATCACTCAAACTGGGTATCAGCCTTTGAAACCCAAACATACCTATGTATATTATTCAAGGTGAAATATATATGTAGGTTATGTTTGCATCAAGGTAATACCACAAGGTATAACTGAAATGGTCATTTAAATCCTTACTGTCTATTCCATGCATGTACTAGAAGGTACCATAGATTTCCTTTGTAAAGAGGAAGTAGACATTTTCTCTGTGGTAAACAGAGGCATCCTGGCAAAGAAATGTAGTGTTTCCTAATCTGGTAACATTGTCACACAACAGTTGAAGTGCATATTTATTAGCAAAACAGAGTACTATCCCTGATGATATATGTTAAAAATAGTGGTGGGGAGGAGTGGCAGTTCTAGTATTATGGAATAGGTGTATCCAAGTAGATCCCAGTGCTGTCAAGATTTGTCTTTGAATTTGGAAAAAGCCTCAGCACTCACTGGTAAGTCTTGCAAAATTAATTGTATTCAAAGACTGGGATTTCTACAGAACTATCAGTCTGTTTCTCTCAAGGGCCAATGCAGAGTGAATTTTAGCAACTAGGAATGTCATACTCAGCTGAGAGAATGCCACCTTTAACATTTAAATTGCAATGTTGTCTTCACAGCTCCTTGCTCGAATTGAGCGTATGGAAAGGAGGATGCAGCTGGTGAAGAAGGACAATGAGCGTGAGAAACACAAGATATTTCAAGGGTATGAAACAGAGGAAAAGGTTGACCCTGAAATACCAGTACCAGAGAAATTGCCTATAGAATGTCCACCACAAGAGCTTCTGGAGATGTCCCAGCCGCTGCCTTTGAAACACTTCCCATATGGAAGGAATGGGAAGGGTCACAAAAGGTATAGCCAGAGTTGCTGTTACCTGTTTTCAAGCCTGTTCTTCTGGAGAGTTTCATCCATGGAAACCACATTCTGTAAAAGGGCTAAGAATTTCTGGCAGATAAGTATGACATCCTGGAGCAATATAGTTTATAGTCTTCTTTGCAGGAAATCTCAGTTGGGAACCTGGGCATGATTTCTTAAGTACAGTAGTACCTCGCTAGACGACGACCTCGCAAAATGATGAATCTGCATGACGATGAGGTTTTGCGATCGCTATATCGATTCGCAAAGTAGTGGTTCCAATGGCCGATTTTTGCTGGACGATGTTTGGGTCACTGCTTTGCAAACCGATTTTCGCAAGACAACGATTTTGCCACTGATCGGCACTTCGCAAAATGGGTGTTTTCAGGACTGATGCTTCGCAGGGCAGCCATTTTAACAAGTGATCGGCGCTTCGCAAAATGGCTTCCCTATGGGCGATCTTCGCAAAACGACGACGATTTTTCCCCATTGGAACACATTAAATGGGCTTCAGTGCATTCCAATGGGGAAATGGTTTTCGCAAGACGATGTTTTCACTAAACAGCTATTTCTATGGAACGGATTATCGTCGTCATGCGGGGCACCACTCTACAGGAAATATTTCTGAGTAATCTTTGAATTAAAAAATGTATCTGGGATTGGATGCTAATTAGAAATGCCTCCCTCCCTCCTTCCCCTTATTTTTCTAATCTTTTAAGGCAGAGGGAAAGACGATATAATTTGGTGGTATAACATATACTTTCACTACAGGGGAATTTCCATTCAATCCCTGATATTTCCATGCAAATATCTCAAGTATCAATGAGAGAAAAGAAGTGTCCTGAAAGACTTTGATAATGGCTGTTAGTCAGGGGAGATGGTAACTGGCTAGAAGATTATTAAGAATAACCACAATTAATATTCTGTAGTGCTCCTGAGTATTCAAAATGTTTCACAGTCTAACTAATCCTTGTGGCATCCCTATAAAATAGGTTAATCTTATTATCACCAAATTGGAGAAGGGGAAGTTAATGATAGCTGAGGTGAAATTTCAAGCAGGAATTCTCCCAAGTTCTTTAATCAGTTGATCAATAGATTGAGAAGGTTACTTAATTCAAGCTTGGTTTATGTCATTATGTCTTTATCTTGGCAGAAACTATAGCAAAGTATTTGCTATAGTTTGTCATGCACTTGGTTAATAAGACTCTGACAGTGCTGCTGAACTTGTTCTTTGTTCTTTTATAGTTCAGAGGGCCTCCTTTCCTAAGTCTATGTATCATTCTCATAAAAACTGTAAGACTTGGGGGACTAATGAATTTAAACTTGGCTTTTAATAACGAAGTACTTAACCCTATGCATGGTAGCTCCTGTGCAGAGTTCTACATTTGCTGCTATAGACTTGTTCTTGATCTTCCTGCAGAAAGTCTCCGTTTGGAAGTGCCGAGAGGAAAACTCCAGTAAAGAAGCTGGTGGCTGAATTTTCAAAAGTCAAGTGTAAAACACCAAAGGCTTCTCCGCTGAAAGACGAACCCAGCAGTTCTTTAACTGAATCAGTTAGTAGGCGTGAACTGCGAAGTCAGGAGACTCCTGAGAAAGCTCAATCATTGGGGGATGCTCCACTGAAATCCTCAGCCTCTTTGAAAGGGCCTGGGTGTCATTCAAAGGACAAGAGTTCCTACAGTGAAATAGAAGACTTGCCCTACCTTTCCACCACTGAAATGTACTTGTGCCGGTGGCACCAGCCACCTCCTTCACCGTTGCGAGAACCTTCTCCCAAGAAGGAGGAGACTGTAGCAAGTAAGAGGCTTGCTTGTGCCTTTGTGATGGTTGGCCTGAGGTTGGGATGGTGGGGGTGTGGAACTCCTTTTCATTTGGTGGGGGTCTGCATAGGTGTCTCTGAATATCTGAAGAGAGATCGAGGGTACCTTTCACTTTCTGAGTGATGCAGCTGTGGGGTCCTAGACCTCTGGCTGACTAATATGGAAACCTTTCAAACCCACAGCATTCTGGAACAGGTATGGGCAATGTATGAAGAAGATCAGCCACAATGTCTAGTGAGCTTGGTGATGTTTCTAAACAAGCACGACACTTGCGGCGGTTTGTGCTCACAGTATATGTTATGACCATTCATTATTGTCAACAAACTGTTCCCCTTCGTAATGTCTTATGCGGCGGGTGGGCTATATAGAAAAGATAGAGGTTATTAGTCAACCTGTTAGTTTGTGGAGTGACACAAAACAGTTCTGTGCTAAAAGAGGCATGCTTGCTGGACTGACAAAGAGGTCTGGTAAGGCTGAAGTGTTCCAAAAGAATAATTTAAGCCTCTTTTTGTCTTGATTCCCACCATTGCAGCCAACTGTTGGTTTATCAACTATTTGGGGTGCATTTCTAAGAATTTTTTTGTACACAATGAATGGGGCTGCATAAAGAGTTCCCTAGTGGTGATTGTGCTGCTGTAGCACATACAACCTGTAAGGCATGCTGTTGTTCACTTTGAAATCAGCCTACCTAGTCTGGCAGGATGTTGGTCTTTAATTGGAATTGTTATTCCAGATTTGTACTTTGACCTGAAAAGGTTGTTCAAGCGCCATTGTTGCCTTTTGAGGAGGGGGGAGGGAGAAGACCACAAACATACGTGGTTAAAAATTGAAAGGTTGATCTCACATTATAGGTTGAGCCTGTAGAACAATTGGTCAAGAAGAATTACATCACCAAGCAGAAGTCTTTTGTCATGTGCAGCTTCCTTATGAGTGTATGTGTCATTTTGGGTTGCAACAAAAAGATGGGGAAGAAAACAAATCACAGATCCTGTGCTATCAGCATGTTAAGAAGTCATATGATGTATGTTTTCTGCCACTGTTTACTAATAAGTAACATGTAGTGAGGTCTAATATACAGTGTAGGTGGGAAGAAAAGGAGCAAAACACATTTTAAAATTGCTTTTTGCATTAAAAGGGGTAGTTCTGCATGTAGAAACACTTATGCAAATGAATACCATGTATACAAAATTTGAATTTTATGGGGTTTTTTTTGCATGCTTGGGTTTTGTTTGTTTTTCTTTTTACAAACTTCAATGCTTTTAATATTTTTAAATATGGTGTTTTGTCTCCTATTTCCTCCCCCCCCCAGGAGAGTGCAGGTGATAGAAAGGGTGTGGTTGTGTGATAAGTGATGGGATGTTCAATATCACTAAATGGCTAAAAGTCATGGGTAAGGGACATGAGGGGGAAAGCATTCCTTGCATAATTATGTTATAAATGGCGCAGAGAATGCTCTAGCACACTGGTTCTTAACCTTTGTTACTCAGATGTTTTTGGACTGCAACTCCCAGAAGCCTTCACCATCAGCTCTGCTGGCTGGGGTTTCTGGGAGTTGCAGTTCAAAAACACCTGAGTAACCCAAGGTTAAGAACCACTGCTCTAGCACTATGGGATAGTATATAAGTTGAAAAAACAACAATTTAACTGTAAAACATGCAGAAATCGACCATCTTAGCACTTCTCTTAGGTCTTATTCCCTGTGGTCATTCTTCCATGTTGTATTCAAAGCTCTGTCCATTCCTTCCCTCAAGTCATTCTGTGCAGATATAATGTGTGCTACACTTCGTGTTCTCAGAAGATTATTTTGAAAGGACAGAATGGACTATAAAGATTCTCATTTACTCCCAGCAAAACTGAAGATTCCTCAGATGTATAAATCTATTGTTTGTTGTCAAACATCTGGTATTTACTGTCACATGAATTGGTTTGAATTGAGCCATCTTGCAATCTTGTTTTTTTTTTTCTTTTTTTCTTAATGTAATGGCAAACATGGCATAAATTTTAGAGAAGCTGTTGCAGCAATTTCCTTCTGGGAGTTGAGCAAGTGATTTTTATTTCATCTTTACAGCAGATTGGGGAAACCTTTTCTGCTTACAAACAGCTTGTTCTTAAAACCTGAGTAGCATTTGCACAATAGAATCAACCTCGAGACCTGGCCAGTCTTCCATCTTTTTCTTCCACAATGTAGTTGTCTGCTTGATCTGCTCTTGTTATCTTGTAGTAAGCATTAAGAGGAGTTTGGAGAATAATCTTTTATGGGGTCATTCCTTATCATAATAATACATGTGCTAAATCTTAAAAACTGCTTGTAGAGCTGTTCAAAGGTCTGTTCAGTCTAGCAGTCTGCCGTCATTTGGAACCAGCCCATTGCACCTGGGAAGCTCACAAGCTACTCTTATTATGTACACAAATCAGTAATATAATGTACCCTGTATTCAAACAGAGATTTTACACCAATCAATTGTGGCAAATAACTGTCATTCTTCCTGAGTCTCTAATCCTTTTAAAAAAGTAATCAGTCCTGGAGGCCTTTGCAACATTCTGTAGTATAGAGTACTGCAAGGTTTGTAAGCTTGTTAGTAGTCCTTCAGGTGGTGACAAGGGTGATTTAAACTCCAAAACACTGGTAAGACTGGACATGAAAGACATTTGTGCCAAATAAGCAATTACCTTGAATGTTCTGCATACATAGATCAATGGTCAGCAGGGCTGCGCTGAGAGCAGACATCCTCTGAAATGCTCATCTGTGAAGCTTTTTGAAAGCTGCCATTCAGCCTTGTGTGCAGGTGGAAAATGTGATGCTGGTTTAGAGAATATCCAGCAGTTGATTAAAGCAGGCTTGTAAAAGACCTGTTCACCTAGTTACTGGTGCCAAATAAACGCTAAGCCTTCAGTAACTAGACAGAACTTTTTGTAAAGTGGAAGAAAATTGACTTCCTTGGTCTTTCATGCTATTGATACTCTACTTTATGAATAACAGTTATATGTAGCAACTTCTGTAGGCATCCTTCAGTCTCAAGAGACTATGGTATCGTGCTCTATATGGACGTCTTGGAACGGCGTCTAGTGTGGCTGAGAAGGCCAATTCGAGAGTGACAATCTCTTCCACACTGAAGACAAATCCTATCTGTCCCCTGAGCAGCTCCCTGATTTTGTTGGTTTTGGGATGGCCTCTTTGCCTCGGCCTGCTGTACAAATGTCTCTTCAACTTGGGAGAGGCCATGATGCACTGCCTGCCTTCAGGCTGAACACTCAGATGTTAATATTTCCCATCTGTTGAGGTCCATTCCTAAGGCCTTCAGATCCCGCTTGCAGATGTCGTTGTATCGCAGCTGTGGTCTCCCTCTGGGGCGATTTCCCTGCACTAATTCTCCATACAGGAGATCTTTTGGAATCCGACCATCAGCCATTCTCATGACATGGCCAAGCCAATGTAGACGACGCTGTTTCAGTAATGTATACATGATGTAGCAACAGATGGATATTTATAACTAATAACTTTTGTGGAGATTCCTGGTGTGGTGTAGAGGATGGAGTGACAGACTAGGACTCGAGAGAACAGGATTCAGATTCTTGCTCAACCATGGAAACTGACTGGGGAAGTGGAACTGGCAAAAGTACTCCATAAGTATCTCGCGTACCTTGAAAGCCTTGTTAAGGTTTAATTAAGTTGGTTCTGAGTTGCTGGCACAAAACATGCACACAATTCAGCTCGTTACAGATCCTTTTAACTGCACAGTTCCTGGACTTATTTTGAGTGCTTTGGGGTAACAGTTCTTGTTTTGAGGGAGAAGTTGGTCATAAAGAGCATTAGACATGTCTGATTGTGACTCTAATGCACACCCGCTATCAGAAGGGGGGAGCCTTGCCATTCAACTCTGAATTGTTCATATTTTGAGAGATAGTAAGCAATGTGGGGCTGCTCATGTGTGCTGCACTTCAGTTAAATACTACTGTACAGTACTTGGTATTATTTCCATACAACTCTTAATTATTTAAGCCCATATACTATAAAAGCCCACATGAGCAGCTAAATAACTGTCTCACAGTGGAATACAGAGTCTGAACAGTGCAGAATTGAAAGGCTCCACCACAAAACTCATTAGGAGACTTGATACAAATCCTTTTAACTTCAAAGGGTGTTTGGGTATAACATAGAATGGTAATATGAAACTCACTTGGAGCACTTGGATAGAAATCTGTAAAAGCAGTTTAACTGGAAGCTGTGAAGCACAAATCATCATGTGGCCAATACTGGAAAACCTGGACTTCTAAAGAGGATTGATATTAGTTAGTGCTGCACTGGTGGGAGGAAAGGGCAGACAGACACCTTGCTCCTTGATGGTATGCAACTTTGTATCCCTTTGAGCAGTGGAATTGAACTGCTGGATAGCTCCTTGGTTTAAGATTGGAAGTTTGATTCTCAAGTGTGCCTCCTTCACAGAGGCTGGCCTTGATTATCCAGACGGTCCTTCCCAGCTCTGCAGTTCTAAGATGATGATGATTTGCTATGTTGTCTGATCTTTATTTCTCCATTTAAGTTTCTCTTTCAAATTAGCAGTTCTGACACTTCTCTTCCCCTTTCCAGTTCCATCATGGAGGGACCACACGGTAGAGCCTTTGAGAGACCTGAATTCTTCAGAACTTTTGGAGGTATGTTAGTAAAGAAATAGTCTGAGAAAATGAAATGAGAAATATAGCTGTGCCATGGGTAATTGGGAATAGCAAGACATGCAGCAAGTTGTGGAAGAAGGGAAGGAGCTATGCAGATCTCCATTTCAGCCACTAGGAGGGTGGACAGCCATGCTACTGTTTGAACATTCACCAGACGCTATCTCCACACTTACCAGTCACTCTTTACAACTGGAAGGGAATTTCATATAGGTCTTCTAGATTTCTGTATCTAAGACTGACAAGCAACCATTTTGTATTCATTTGATGTTCTACCCTGCTACCAGAGTCTAACCTAAAGTGTGTTGAGGTGTTTCAGAAGGGTTTCAGAGGGATTCTTGACAATTGGCAGGCTGCTGGATCAGATAGTTTTTATTTTGAATTGTCAAGAATTTCACACATCCAACTTGTAAATATAGTAATGAGATTTATTGAGGTAGTGGTAGCTAGAATCTTAAATACCAATGCTAATATATAATCAGGATGTGTTTTACAATTTATGATTTCTGGTGCTTAAGTTATTAAGCATAGTGGGGACGGGGAAGTACCAAAATGGATAGCTTAGTGGTTTAGATATCTGGCTGTGGTATCAGAGATTGGAAGGTCAGTTCCCCAATTCTAGCTCTGCAGTTCTAAGATGACAATGATTACTACTACTGTATTACTTTTTTGACTCTTGTATAGACCTGTGTGCATCAGGACAATAGACTTGGTGACTATACAGTCAACTTACCTACAAGGTGCTTTCATTGAGATCTTAGTTCCTTACAGTCAATACTTAAAGTATATGTGTGTGTGTGTGTGTGTGTGTTTTAATATACCACTCCCACTCCTATTAGTGCTGCAGCACTACTCTGGGTGGTTCACAACAAAGTAGCATATAATTTTTTTAAACCAGAAGTGAACATAGTAAAGATGCTGTAATAGTTGAACGTCAGGTGTAATAGTAATGGTATTTAAAAATCTCAGCAGCAACTCAGCATTCCTACTTTATTTAAGCTTGCTTCTCAGTGGTGCCGTGACTTACAAATGTCTTGACTTGCGACCAATTCGAGTTACAACCAGTTCCAGTTGCAAAATTTTGCTTTGACTTGCAATCGGCACTTTCCATTACTTTTACTGGCATGGCAAAGTATGACTCCCATTAATTCCGAGGCTGGCAAGTTGCTGCTATGGCAGACAGTTGCTTTTGTTTTGACTAGATTGGTCTCTCCACCTGTGGGAATAGCTAAATAGTTCCATAGTAATTTACTATAAAAGCCCATTGAAACGCATTTAAACCCAGTTAATACGTTCCAATGGACTGAAAGCTCACCGTCCAGCGAAGATCCTTCATAGGGGTGGCCATTTTCCATGCTTGTGCGTTTTCCATTCCTGTGCAGTGAGGAATCCATCCCTAAGCACAGCGGGGGGCCATTTTCGTCAGCCGGCGGCCATTTTGAAACCTGACGTTCAGCTATTTTTGATCGTCGTAAAGTGAAAATCGGTTCCCGAAGCAGGGAACCAATCATCGCTAAGCGAAATCCCCGACTGTATAGGCAAAATGCCTGAGCATAAGGTGCTTAGTGAACCAAAATGGTCAGGTACCAGTTTGTTCTTTCCTCATTTTAGGATTCTAGGAATTTTTTCTCAATTGTTTTGTATTCTCTTATTTGTTTACACGTTCGATTGTAAGCTCACTTATGAAGGAGATTCTTTGTGAGGCAATGTTATTTTACATTGACCTTGCTTTCAGACTTTGCTGAAGAGCTGGCTGAATGCCCTGCAGTGGCTTTTAGTAAGCGGCTGTTCTAGCTTGATTTTTTAAAGCACAATATGCATGTTCAGGGTTACTTTTTTACAGTCCCCTTAATTGCTTTAGCATTCTATACATAACAACATTTCAAACCTTGCCAGCATTGAAACACCGAACTTGCAAAAGTAGTCATTTGAAATAGTGAGTGTGAAGCATTTGCAGCTCTCTTACCCATTTTTCCCCACAACAAATAAACCAAAATTCTGCACCACTTTCCTAGCTTAATCACATGCCAGGTTCCTCTGTAATGTGTGCCATTCTGTTCTCTCATGTAGCATCTAATTACCCTTGGCACTCTTTTCTAGCTATACTTTTGTACCTTTTAATAGTGAGTTAGCAGTTTATCTGAAAAGCTTTCCTAATAGGTGTTGTATAGTTATTAAAAGCACGAGAGTTCTGTTGGGTTTCAAATTGGCAGCCTGGCATATCAACTCCTGTTCCATCCTCCTCCAAAATGAGACAGTGCAGAAAAAAAAAAGATTAGGGCTCTTGCTGTGGTGAGCACCTAATATTGAGACTGGTTTAAATGCCTTCTAGGAAATGAAGAGGAATTATGCTCAATACATAACACAGAATCATGTTTAAGTATTGAGCAATATTATTATTAAATGATATTGCTGAACATGAGGAAGTGGATTTGTCCATAAAAGCTCACATTAAAATATAGCAGTTAGACTTTAAGGTGCCACAACATTTTTGTCTTTACATTTTATTTTTCTTTTGTTTTTGCTGATATGCTAGCACAGACTAACATGGCTCTCTCTTGTAAGACTATCATTATTAAAAACATTGTTCCTTTTACACAACTTTTCACAGAATTTAGATGACAGCGTCTTCTCCAAACGGCATGCAAAGCTGGAATTGGATGAGAAGAGGAGGAAAAGGTGAGGGAGAAACACATGCAGCAGTTGGTATCTAGGAAGCTTTGGCAGCTACTTTTCTTGGAACAAACACCATGTCTGAAATGTTCTCTAAATAAGACTGTTATCCATTACAGAGAGCGATGGAGCATAGAGTATGAAATAAAATGAAAAGTTTCACCAATGGTGGCTGAATCATTTTGCACAGTTTCAAAAATGGTGTAACTTTTAGACTGAATTGCCATAAATTAACAAGTCACTGTAGATGTGAGTTGTTACACATTGAATTGCATGACTCAGTCATGCTGAATCAGCATGCAAGAGATAATATTGATGGGTATTTCTTTACTTATGGCAAATTATACTGTTTGGGTAACTGCAAAGAAAATCTCGGCCAATAAATCCTATCTCTTCAGATTTAAATAATCCTTATTTCATATGGCTGCTAGGTTACATTTTGAGGCCTTTGGGGAAAGGGCCCTGAGGGTGGTTTGATGAGGAAATTGGAATAGCAGGTAAGTCTTGGAAGCATAAAAAGAAGTTCTATTATCATGATGTAATACAAAGATTCAGGATAACTTAATAAAATTTGGGGTGAATTTAACAAAAGCAAATACTTTCCCATACTACTTGCAAACTCCTAGCCACAGATGCTGTGCTAGATTTTTCTTTTGAATTACAACAGTGGAGAGCAGTGACTGCTACCCTTACTATTGTTGTCCTCAGCTAAATTTTTAAAAACTGTCTCCCCTCTCTTGCTCTTCTTCCAAAGGTGGGATATTCAGCGGATCCGAGAGCAAAGAATTTTGCAGCGACTGCAGCTCAGAATGTATAAAAAGAAAGGAATTCAGGAATCTGAACCTGAAGTTACCTCATTTTTCCCAGAGTCAGATGATGGTAAGTGCTTTAAATAAGGTTCTTCTTTGTGGCCTCTGTGATTCACACCCTGGGTAATCTGTGCATGCATGGAGCCTTGTTGGAAGATTATAGAGCTTCTGCGGTAGCAAAAAAACACATTAGGGCAGACCCCTCCCCCTTAGTATAAGTACCTTGGCACCAAGACTCCCTTCAGTTACTTTCAACCGCCATGTTGAGAGCCTCATAGTGATCGCATCTGTGAGTTTTCCTAAAGTGAAAGAGAATTTTTTTTTTGATTCCTTTATTACTATTATTTTTTTAAAAAAAGTTTTTTTTTCTTTTTTGCTGTGGCCTTACAACCAAAGCTCCCCCCTTTTTCCCTTACTTTCATGGCCCCTGTGGGCCCATTTAAACATTGTGTGGTCTGTGACAACAAGGTCTCACTTTCTGATGCCACGCTAAATGTCTTTTCTGTCTCAGTGAAGCCCACCAAACCTTTTCGTGCCCTCACTGTAAGAATTTCAAACGCAGAGTTCTCCGTAGTACTCTTTCTAGCCTTAAGCTTCTGCTTTGGGAACAATCGCTCGAGTCTACAAAATCTATGGCTCATCCTGCCTGTAAGTCCGTCTCACAGGCTAAGGCCATGGATAAAGCCATTTCAGAGACGGTGAAACAGTGCCCTTCTTGCCACGCCATCACACTCCGATGCCCCTTCGACATCCTCCACTAAGGGGCATAAAGCCAAACATTCCATGCTGAAACCCTTGACATAAAAAAATGACCACCAAATGGAAGCTGTCCACCAATGTGCCATTGGCTCAAGAACCCTCACCACTGAAGAAACCTAAAGCTTTGAAGGTGAAATCCCTGAGGGTCACCAGAATGGAAAGAATGGGTGGATCAGCATCACATCCTCCCTGGCTATCCCTCAGCAATCTGGCTCTCCCAGCAAGCCCTCCTTGGTTGCTTCTCCCAACATGCAAGGAGTTGAAACGCAACCTGATACTGTGCCCTACTCTGTTCCAGCAGGCCTACCACCTTGGCCTCTGATGCATTATCAAGGGCACTAGCCCTTGAGAGACTGGCAACATATCTTTGTGTGCAGCATTGACCCATGCTCAGCACTATTATCAGGTAGCCATTTGCCCCAATCAGGGCTCAACTGATAAGCCTGCCAAGCACTAGCAACTGGTTGCTCTCCCCGGTTTGATGTCAATGCCACATTAGAGGCCTCACCCATGGCAGCCATCAATGTTGAAATGATCTTACCTTCATGATCCTCAAGAGATTCATACGGCTTACTAACAGCCGGCATCTAAAAGACAGAACAGCCAATCAATACTCCTCAGCTCAGGGTGCATTTGCAGCTCCGGTGAACCATTACTCTCCAGGTCGTCAGTAGGATCGGGATTGATCATCCCACTCAGGATCACCAGCGTCTATCTACTCCATAGTTATCCAGTGTTGCCCATCAACATACCATCTTGGCAGCAATGTTTATTTCAACACCATCAAGGTATTGGCTCCGATACAGGCAATCCTCAATATCGACCATTGTCCAAGCCTCCATTTTGCTACCATCGAGAAACTGGCTCTGATATGAACAATCCTCTATATTGACCACTGCCCCATGGATGCCTCATCAGTGTTGATACTGATGATCCTCGACATCAACCACTGTCCATGGATGCGCCATCAACATCCAGACATCGGTACCAATATTTTGAGGCACAGCCACTTGATATTAAGGTCAGTCATCAGTCCACAGATTCTCGACATGGTCGAACATTCCGAACAGGACTCTAGACTGCAAACGCAATCTATTTTACTCACGTCACCGGAGTCTGACTTAGCAAATGCTGACCCTCCATCTCCAGCAGAGGACTTTCAAACTTATGCACAATTAATGGTACACATGGCTAAGTTCCTGGATCTCCAAATACACAGACCCACAACTGAGCCACCGGATCATCTCTACGATCTGATCTCCAAGGACACCACAACTCCCGTTCAGATTTCTATGTTACCTCTTAGCACTAGCCAACGCTCGTGGACAAAACCAGCTTTGTCTCACTCAATGTCGAAGTGTATCAACAACCTTTATTGAGTTCATGATCCAGGAGCGTTTTTTCTTCAGAAACAACCAGCCCCAAACTTGATCTTTGTTGAGGCTTCCCAGTCTTGATCTCAACATCGTCAAATTTTCATACCGCCTAATAAAGACAGCAGGCGAATTGACTCCATGGGCAGATGGCTATATTCTTCCGCTGCATTCACCATGAGAGTAGCCAACTATCAAGGAGCCATGGGTGCTTACCAGCGGTTCCTCTGGGACAACACGTCCACCTTCATTTAAGCTCTTCCAGAAGACAAAAAAATCTTGGCTCAAACCTTCCAGCAAGAAGAGCTTTCAGTTGCCAAACAGCAAATGTTGTCAGCCAGATGTACTGTCGATGCCACAGCTAAATCTATGGCTACCTCTGTGGCCCTTCAATGTTTTTCCTGGCTAAGAACTGCTGGTCTTGCTGAAGATGCGAGAGCGCGTATTGAAGACCTCCCATTTGACGGGACAGATGTTTTCAGTGCTGAAACAGATGACATTCTTGAAAATGCTCAAAAGAAAAGCACAGCTGCTAGATGCTGGGGAGTCTAGCCTACATACCAGCAACGTCCCCAGCACAGTCAGTGGCAGCACCCCTACAACTCCTACCAGAAGTTCCATCAACAGCTTCAGAGGCAAACTTCTTACACAACTTACTACAAACTACAACCTTACCGGGCCATTTTATGAAGGGAAGCCATTTTGCAGATGCAGAAAAAACATCGTTTTGCGAACAAACGGTTTGCGAAGCAGGGACCTAATCAACGTAAAGCAGATTTCCCCCATAGGAACCATCATCTTGCGATTGCAATAGCAATCGCAAAAAGTGATCGTCAAGCGATTTTGACGTCATGAGGGATAAGCGTCTAGCGGGGCACCACTGTAGTCTATTATCAGCTGCCAACCTCTTCAGCAGCGCAATTTTTCAAACACCCTACTCTCAGGCATTTCCTTAAGGGTCTGTCGAACATGTACCCAGATGTGTGCCCACTCCCACCTCAATGGTCTTTGACAGTGGTACTGCAACAACTTACTAAAGGCTCCATTTGAGCTCTTAGCATCAGCTGATCTTAGATTTCTCACCTTGAAGACAGTGTTCCTCGTTGCTATTACATCGTCTCGTCATGCCAGTGAACTTCCAGCCTTAAGGTCTGATTACCTTCATCTTCAGTTTTATACAGATAAGGTTAAACTGTTTGTAGATACAGTATTTCTTTTCTACTTAAGGTTGTCTCTCAGTTTCATCTATCCCAACTGTTGGTTCTCCCATTCTTTTTTCTATCTCCATCTACTTATCAGGAGAGAATCCTTCATACCTTAGATGTCAGAAGGGCTCTGGCATTTTATTTAGCCCGTACACAACCTTTCGGCGTTCAGCCCAACTCTTCGTCAGTTACCAACTCCCCACTAAAGGTCTTCAAGTGACCGCTCAGAGATTTCCAAATGGGTTGCTTTTACCATTCACCTAGCATACCAGCTTGCTCGATTGCCAGCTCCTCAAGTTAATTTGCCCTCATTCTACTAATTTGCCCTCATCTATAGCCTTTCTTTGTGGCGTTCCCCTTCCAGACATCTGTGCCTCTGCCACGTGGTTACAGCCGTCTACATTCATCAAGCATTACAGATTAGATGTTTGGCAAAAATCTGATGTGGCCTTTGGACGTGCTGTGCTATCCTTTACCTTGCTGTGACACCCTCCTCCAGGTAAGACAGCTTGTTAGTTACCCAGGGTGTGATTCAGAGAGGCCACGAAGAAGAACGACAGGTTACTCACCTGTAATTGTAGTTCTTCGAGTGGACCTCTGTGATTCACACATCTGACCCAACCTCACCTCTGTCACGCCATGTAGCTATTCTATGTAGCGGTTGACCTAACTGAAGGGAGAGTCTTGGCGCCAAGGTATTTATACTGGGGGGGGGTCTGCACTAATGTCTTTTTTTTGCTACCACAGACGCCCTAGAATCTTCCGACGAGGCTCCACACATGTATGGATTACCCAGGGTGTGAATCACAGAGGTCCACTCAAAGAACTACAGTTACAAGTGAGTAACCTGTCTTTTTTTGTCCCATCCCTGAAATGCTTGGACAGGGCAAGAAAATCCTGTTGTGTCCAAATACAATTCCTATTTGAATGAAGCTGGATGAGTAATATTCTCCTCTGTTCTTTCTCCATTTAGTTGAAAGCTTGCTGATCACCCCTTACTTGCCTGTTGTAGCATTTGGCCGACCATTACCAAAATTAACCCCACAGTAAGTATAACCATGTACATTAAAACGGGACAAGATAACCCCCTCAAAGTTAAGGATCCCTCAAGTGAGGTGGCTTTAAATATATCTTCCTTTTCAGAAGGTAATCTTGTTCCTGCCTGTGTGAATATATTGTTTGCTCACCTGTGTTCCAGATTTCATGGTGGTTTTCCAGTTGAGTCAGAGATGAGAGTGCTAGGTTTCGCATCCTCTTACCATAGGAATAAATATTCTGTGTAGCTTATGCTATAAGGATAGTTACATGGTTTCAGTAATCTAAATCCAATTGTTAGTCTGAAATAACAACTGTTAGAGTAGACCCCTTTCAGAAGTGATTCAAATCCCATTCATTCAGTAGCTCTGCTCTTGTTGGTACTAACATTTGATATGGCCTACTAATTTCAAATGCAGAATGTAATCCAAAAAATCCAGAGAGATCACATGGTAACCTGCTACTGACATCTTGAAAATCTACTGGCAGTTTTGGAATGGCACTAAGCATGTTTGGCAAAAATCTACAAACTACTGATCTTCTGCTAATACAGAGGAAAAGTAGAATGACATGGCAAGAAAAGATACAAAGATGCTTATCTTTATGTTTCAGTGGGAAGGAATCAGCATGAATGAGGCTGTAATTTGGATTAATGTTAAAACCTAACACTTTAAATCTTAATTTCATCAATATTATATAAGACATAAAATATTCTTTAAAAATTTATCAAACAACATCAAACCAGGGTTGGCATGTCACATCTTAAATGCACATCTGTACTGTGAACCTCTTCAAAAATTCAGGGACAAACTGCTGGACATGACAGAAGCAGTGAATTATGATTCTGTTTGTAAGACTCATACTTGCTGATACTTAGAAACTCAGTGATGAAAGAGGATAATAACTTGGTGAATAACCTCTTAGCTGTAACTTTAATACTAGAAAGATATAAATTACACTTTGCAATAATGATGAAGTTGTGATAAATGAAGAGGCAGGTTGGGATGATGTCATGTCAGTGTGTCAATAGAAACAATTAGCAGTATTTTGGAACAATGGGGACCTCAGCTGAGAGAATATGTGAAAAGTTTGTCAGCCTCAGAGGTTTTCTGCTGTATTGTTAAAAAACGTTAACCGCTGATTATTTATTTGTTTATTATCTGTTGACTCATTCTTAATGGTTCTCTTGTTAAATATTTGGGATTTTAGTTGTCTTTATCACACTTCTTCTATTGCCATATAATGATTATAATTAATAAAAATCTTTAGAACAAGTACTTTGTAGTTCTAGCATAGTAGGAAGCTTAAAGCAACAAGCAGGCCTGCCCTATTGTCATGCCAAGGGCCTTTCAAGGAGATGGGCTTCAGTGGTGTGTGAGGGGGAGGGCAAAGAAATGAAAGAACCTATTATTATGTAGAATGAAGGCAGAAATGGGAAGAGTTGAGTTTACATCCCAGAGGAGTTCAGTCTCAGGAAAATGTAGTGTTATGACTATGAAAAGTGGGGGTAGCTTTCCACATTAGAGAGGGCAATTTTGGACTGATTTCTTTTTTAACCTTCTCACTTGAAAGCCTTGGTGTGGTTTTAAATACCAACTCCAGATACAGAACTTGAAAGTTGAGTTGTTCGATCATTTATCTTTCTTTGCCATCACTAACCACTTCTTTCTTGGTAGGAATTTTGAACTGCCATGGCTGGACGAGCGAAGTCGCTGCCGGTTAGAGATGCAGAAAAAACAGACACCTCACAGGACATGCAGGAAATAGGTGTGTCCAACTAGGAGAATCCTCTGCCTCAATGGTTGGCCTGTGTTGTATGCAGCAAATGGCAGAGAACTGTGTATGTTCTGTCATGTCACTCTCACCTGCCCCACCTCGATGTATGTTCTTGTTCGTTCTAAATATTTTTTAATGTTTACCTGTGATCTCCTTCCCCCCCCCCCCCAAATGTCCTTCATATCTTTTCCACTATTTCTTTTACTTGGGAGAAAGTCCTGGGGTTTGTATAGGGGCAAAGGTTGACAACTGGTTGAACTGTAATTGTCCATGTCCATTTACAGACTGTGAAAAGGTGAACAAGCATAAAAATATAATGAAACTGTTCCCTTTGGTAAGTTACCACACATGCGAAACCCACTTCTACTTTCATGCGGTTCTTTAAAATATTTAGCCTCCTAGTTAAGGCAATAAAACGGAGAAAGAAGGTGTGATGCATCCAAACACATTGGGCAAAGAGAGGTTTCCATTTGACCTGCTGCCTGTTAGCTGGTCTCCTATAAAGTATCTGCATATAAATCCATGCTTTTCCTCCTGCCTTTTTTGGTTCTTCATGTGCTGCTGTCGTGTTTTCATTTTTAAAATGGGCTTATCCTGTTCATGCCTTCTGCTTCTAATTAAAGGAGGGTGGGTCATTTAGTCTTGACTTTGTAATAGTGACCACAAAGGGCTGTGTGCCTCTGACCAGTCTGTCACACCATTAGTTTTGTCAGAACACTTGTCGTAACCCTGAATGCTGTGTCATCTTGCCTTCAGATTCTTTTTTGATTTGCTTTACCAGCAAAGTCTTTAAATAGTTTTTTCTGTCAAACTATATAGTGTGGCCTAAATGACAGGTTTTAAACAAAAGAAATCAAACATTGTACAATTATTGTTTCTTAACAGAAATGTGGAGTGTCAGTACTGCCAGATATACTGACTTTTAAAGCCTGCTCAACATAGGTAGATAACCGACACATGGCATTGCTAAGAGGCACAAATTCCATCTCAAAGTATGACCTTCCCTACTACAGCAAAGCACCAGCTGAATGTCACCGTTTCTGAGAGGGACTAGCAGCTGCCATGTGCTTTTGTTCCCAGACTAGGTAACCTGTTGCTGTAGCGAAGGTTAGACGTGAGAGAGAAAAGGTGGAGAGAGCCTTTCCTCCCACCTAGAAATAAAGAGATTTATCCTCATAATGCTTCTTGCAAAGGATTGTGTTTCCTTCTCTCATCCTCAAGTCCACTGCAATGCTGTTTATACTTGTTTGCAAGGATCAAACCTGTTGGAGAGGAAATTATGTCTCTGCACTTGACTATATCGAGTGACTCCTAGAGACAGCAACCAATTTTCTGCTCCTTACTCTTTTTTCACATTAAGTTAAGCCACTGTAACTGCTGAAGCTTTGATTTATAACTTTTTGAAGCATGACTGGCATTTCTTAAGTAGGTCCCAGGTATCTTTTCAGTAACTGGAGATGAAAACCTTCACTCTGTCCTGAGATCAGGGAGCATGCTCATCTGCTTGTTTCAAGTAATTGCAGGAAGCTGCCATTGCCTCTATATGCACACTTGTGTGCTTAAAGGAGCACTAGAATTAACATCTTTCATCTAAACGGAAAAAAATTCCTGGGATCACTTTACTGGATTGTTGAAGATCCCAGTGCAGGATGGTGTTCATTCTCTTTGGATGCTAAGAATATTATGCAGGAAGGACACTTATTCAACAAATGTGTTCTTCTTTCTTGAATATTTCCCTAGCTGATCTTCTCCTTTTCTGGGCTATGTTCCCACAAAATTTGAAAAAAGGCTTTTTCCCCACAGGAGAAAAAAGGTAGCATACTCACACATGAATGGAGTCGAAAGGTCACAAGAATGACTTAGACTTTCAGATAAGAAGAACAGATTCTCGTTTGCCAAGTAGCCTGTGTAGTAGAGGTAGTGCACAATGCTCGCCTAATTTTATTTTAAATGAGGCTGTATTCAGATTGCTTTTTTAGCATGCCAGCATGCACCCTTAAGTGGTTTTTTTAACCCCCTATTGTTATGCCTGGATGTATAAAATGAGCAAGCCTTAAGTAGAGGCTGCTTGAAAGTGTTTTTGATTTCAGAGCTGTTCTGTTAATATTTCAGCCGACTTCTACTCTAAGCACAAAAAGTTTGCGATACCAGTTCTTGGTTCTAGATCCCATTTGGGGCAGAGGGAGGAGAATGCTTTTGCGTAACCCAAAAAACGGCTTTTATCAGAAATGCCAGCCTGTGTTCCTGAAATACAGTAGTGAGATTTACCTGTCCCAACTTCAGTCAGCAGAATACTGACTTTCAAGAAAAAAATCCATTTAATACTTAACACATGCAACATGCACGCACACATATATATGAAGAGATGGGGTAGGTATGTGGAAGTAGGTAGGGGCTGTACAAAGAGTTTGCAGTGGATTTTAGCTAGGACGAGGGGTGGAGGGAATAGTCTTTCTCCCTTTAGGGAGTACAGCACTGTGAAATTCATATTTTAAAAAAGCCCTTGCAAATTAGATCTGATTCTCTGTTTAAAACAAAACATCGCTTTCTTTAACCAAGTTAATGCTAGGTCTAAAAAAGAAGTGTAATTCCCCTCCTTGTTTTTTTGCCCGTTGACATGTGGTTGTCTGCAAATGCATCCTTTTTGATACCATTTTAAATATGTAAAATCAGTTGTCTTGTAAATATCTTATAAAGGAAAAAAGTTTGTAAATACCAAATCTGTGGCTGTTAATGTTTTTGTTTTTTTTAATTTTTTGCTTCAGTTCATTTAGGTTTAACAGTGTTAACAGGGAGTATTAAAAGAAATTCTGCTTGTATGTTTAAGCAAAATTGAAACAATTTTTTTACAATAAAATGAAAAGAATATTAATGATTTTGTAATGAGTTGTGCCTTGTTTAATAGACTGGATACAATTTTGATGACTAAAATCAGTTTCTACTACCTTCTTTCAGATGTAGAGCAGTGGTTCTTAACCTTGGGTTACTCAGGTGTTTTTGGACTGCAACTCCCAGAAGCCTTCACCACCAGCTGTGCTGGCTGGGGTTTCTGGGAGTTGCAGTTCAAAAACACCTGAGTAACCCAAGGTTAAGAACCACTGATGTAGAGGACTATAATAGCTTTTGCTTTGCTAGATGTGCGAAGGAAATATCCCCACAGAAGTCTGAGCTGTGGGGACATAAAATGCAAAGAGTAGGAGGTTTGATTATACATAGTGCCCAAATGCAAACAAAACAGTAACCCACTAACCACAGCAGCACTGGGTACAAGAGTATATTTCATTTTATCCATGCAAATAAGGCTACTACCCTCAGTAGAAAGCTTAGACCTAAGCACATTCAAATTGAGTAAGATGGAACTTGTTCATGTAAACCCTACTTAGGCAGCTTTAGATAGCAGTTCTCTATCCTGAGGTATTTGATTAGTCATCAGAGTTTGGAGATCAGAAGTTCTGTATCCTAGACAATTTTAAAAAATTAACCATCACATCTGTCTGCCCCTCAGCATTATCACTCCCAAGTAATAACAAACCAGAAAAATATCTCAAAACAGTGAAAGCATATACCACGAGGCTGAAAAAAAAATAGATGGATCAACATCTGGTAAAATACATGAGAGTTTGCAGTTTTTCAATCAAGGGTAGCCCAAAAGCTATCTTGGCAATATGCTCTTGCAACAAGTATGGGAAAGGTCAGATTTCATGTTAAGGACCAGTAGGAGAGGGACAACAATAAAATAAAATTGTGCCTTTAGTAAAACAAAGCTATGGTATAACAAAACTTGGAAAGCCATGTATTCATCTGGCTGTACCATCTCAAAAAATATACTTTTAACTTCAAAGATGCAGAATATGGCAACCAAAATGATTAGGATGCTGGAGAAACTTCCCTGTGAAGAAACATTCTGTTTGGGACTCCAGTCCAGGAGAAAAAAGTGAAGTGGCATGACAGATAGTATAAAATTATGCAAGGTATAAAAAAAGTAAATGGGAACTTAGTATGCCCTTACCATGTTAGAGCTGGGAGTTACCTAATGAAGTTCGCTGGTGCAATATTTGAGACAAATACAAATATTTAACAAAGCTTAGTTATATCAAACTCTTGTAAGTTACAGTGATGGCCATCAGTGTAAATAATGGCTTTAAAAGGACACACTTGTTCTCCATGGGTTTATCTCTGATACATGATGGTAGTACACTATCTTCATGTCTAGTAGGAGAGGATGATTGACTTGATGTCCTGATTGTAAACTGATTAGGCACTGTGAGGAACAGTACTAGGCCACATTAGTTGACAAAATTAAAGGGCAGTGGGTTGGATTTCTATGGACACAAAGACAACATATTGTGTCATCTTAAAGACTCCATTATCTCAGGGTGACATTTTGTAGATGAAAATCCATTTATTTTCCCCCCCCTTAATTTTGCTAACATGGCTACTTCTTTGGAAACTACTGGAGTTGCAACCTTGCATGAATGTCTTAGTCTCTGTACTGTATTTTTCTCTCTGATGAAGTGGGCATGTTCTGTCACAGCCTGTATTAACATATAGCAGTTAGTCTTTAAGGTGTCACATCTTTCTTTTTTGCTTTTGTTTCTTGTTGAAATGCTAGGATTCAGTTAATGATTGATCTGACCCAGCAGGACTATTCATAGATGCTTATATTCCAAATGGCCTCCATATATGACATGAAGCAAACACGGGCAGATTCAATACTCTGTTGGTTTCTGATTTGTCATGTCTGATTTGTCTTCGGTCTTCTTTTTGAAAGGGCGAACGGTTTGTCTCAATAGCACAAGGGATGGAGGTGAATGAGCTTCCATCAATGTTAGCATTAGCAGTAACACTGATTAATTACTGCTAATGTTTACCTGCTCCTGTCAAGAGAGCTGCCCGAATAATAGAGGGAACAGCGAGTCCTGCTGGAGTCCTGCACCATTTCCTGAACCGTTTCTGATACTTTCATAAACCCACCCCGTAACTGCTTTGCACCATTTCTTGCATCTTCCCTCCGAGACCTAGATGATGCTCAGTCCCCACGCCTCCACTGCTGCAGGATAAGCAGGCATGACGTCATCGATGCAATGGCAAAACGTCACGGGACACAACGGGTTACGCACATCCCCCACCCGAACAGGACGCGTAGCCCGTCCTTAGGCTCAGCACGTGACGCTGTTACCAGGGCTTCTTTCTCCCAGCCCTGTTAACAGTTGAGGCACCTCCTCCGTGACGTCAGTTCTTCTGCACACATTGATTGGATGCGACCCCCCCCTTCTCTGAACTGTTTTTGTCCGCAGACTTTCGCAATCTCCGCTTCTTCAGTAATCAGGGACAAAAGAGTGAGCCGGGAAATCTAGCTGGCCCGTGGTGTATGCCGGGAGTTGTAGTCTTTCTGAAGCCGTGCGTCATCCGTCCCTACCCGTCATCCCCCTTCCGGCGCCGCCTCATAACCGTTTCGCTTCTCGTTTCATCTCTTGGGTCCTGTCAAGATGGCGGATCGTCGGAGGCAACGCGCGTCGCAGGACAGCAGCGAGGAGGACGAGTCCGACTCGCCTCCCGGAAGCGCGGCCCCTTCCCCGCGTGGCTCCCACCGCCTCGGCTTGGCGGGGCC